TCAAGTAATTTCTCATTGAAATCAATTTTTACCATTCAGAACATCCACGCAAACTATCAACGTATCTCTTCGCATAATTTCACGCACATGCGCTGCATTGAAGTATTTATTTACTCCACAACTCATGTCATTCTGCATCAAAAAGCTCATTTGGGGAATATTTATATTTTCTCAATTGATTTTTTGTGCTGCTAAATTGAACAACAGACATTTAGTAACCGCCGGGCATGCAACAACAACAAGAACAACAACAACAACAAAAACACAACTACTCGCTGGATCAAGATGAAATAAGTATAAACTTCATGCACAGTAAGGTTGAAAGTGCTTTGACGCTCACAGTCTATCGGCAGGATCAAGCAATCCCCCAGCGATATGTGCACCCAAGCGAAAATGGTGAAGATTGTGCACTTCGGCATGGCTAACTTCGAAAAACTGACGGCAGCGGCCAAGTCTTTCCGTTGCCAGGCCATACGGCCCGGGACGTGTCCGAAACGTTCGTGGCCGCTTTGTAGACGCCGGGCGAATGCGCCAGTAAATTGAATTCAGGACAAGCGAAATATCACTTCGATTAATTCAAACAAAGTCCATTTAAAGGGATCAACGTCAGTTGGCAGCCGTCGGCGCATGCGCAAATAAAGTTGGCACGACTGTTGCCGATAACGGGCCCGGTGTGGAGTTTAATCGCGTGCAAGAAGTGCGAGGAGGGCGCGCGGTGGCAAGGTGTTGGTGTCGTTTTCGTTCTGGCTGTGGTTAAAGTCGGTGTTATTTTTTTTTTATTGTTGCAATTGCTAATGCGGCATTGAGCAGATCTTAAAGCCTGGCGCGATCCTGCGCGATCAGCTACCAGCGTGCACACTTTCAGCGCCTTTCAGAATGAAGTCAATTGGAAAAATCGGCGCACGAAAAACTACAAAAGATACTTTTGCTGCAGAAAAAAAGGGCAACAAAATTCAGCAAATACACACAACAATTTGCGGCGAGGAGCAAGTGGAGATTAAGCGGAAGAGCGTTCCTACGTTAGTGGACATTGCAATTCGATCGTCTAAAGCAAATTTGTTCGTTCATCTGTATGTATTTGGCGTTGAAAATGCCATCGTCTCGGACGGACGGAATTGATAAGTGAGCGCAGCGGCTAAGTTAATGGAAGGCGGCTTCTTTCTTCTTTGTCGTTGCGCATGCGCAAATAGCCGGAAAGGCGAAAATGGCTCAAAAACAAACAAACGAAGCAACCGCGATAGTCACTTTTTACAAGTTGAAGATTTAAGACGCTTGTTCGTGCGCTGAATTTTGCGTGGGGCTATGGGCGAGTGAGTATTCACTAATGTACACCAAAATGAATGTTGGTTGGTTGGTTGGTTGTGCGGCATTTGCTTGCGATTATGGCTAAATTTGCATGTACTGGCACTTAATGTTGTCTGCCTTCGTTTCGGTATTCTGTTGGCTTTTGGTGGGACTTATGGGAATATTGAGCGAATATATGTACATATATGTATGTATATATGTATGTACATCTAGTTAGCTTAAGGATTTATTGGTTTTGTGTTGTACGAAGTGGCCGCCGCTAGAGCTGTGCACTGTGTGTAACTTATGAATTTGGCTTAGCTTCGAGATTGAGTGGCTTGAATTTAAGGATTTATTTTAAAGTTCCACGCATTACTCTTCCACATGGGAAAAGCGCGTAAGTGGTGACGATATACATACATTTGCATAATTTTTTAACAGGTTAGAATATCAAGCGAAAGTGCCTCGGTGTTACGCCTTTTTTCTCTTTCGAATATTTATTTAATTGTTTTTAAAGTAAGTCTTTTATATACCAAGCGAAGTGGTAATTTGAGCCGTGGGAATATAAAAAAGTCCAACAAGGCACTGTCAGGTACAGTGATTCTATAAGATGATTATTAATTTCCGACTAGTCCCAACTAATAGATAGATAGATATGTGTTATTAGTAGATCTATTCCGCCCGCTGATCTTCAGATACAATTTTATACTCACTTAAGCTCAGAACCCTTTGCGATGCCGCTTATGGGGTCATCAACTTCCAATCCCACCTGAAACCATTTTGCACTTCACAGGAAGAATTGTTTACATAAAATGGAGAGTCTTCGTCTGTGTAGAGTAGGGCACTGGTACATCAGTCGAAGAATCGCTTCCTCCCGTTTTGTATCTTGACAAATTCTACAGAATTCATTTATTCGTAGTTGTTGTTGTTTTACCATCACGCTGGAGTGACAGTCCTTGGCGAGATGTTAATCTGGGTCGTTGCGGTTACGTAGACCAACAAACTGATATTATGCTCATTTAGGCTCAGTCAGTGCCGGCCACAATTGCCTGGCAATTTTGCAGGTGATCTCGTCATGCCGACTCTCGTTCGCTACTTTAGTAAGCTCCTCGGAAACAAGTAGCTTGTAAGTTTGTAATGGTATTCCTACTATATCATAGTTTACATCCTTAATTGATAATTTGGTGCCAACTGGTGCCAATTCATCGCATTGTCCCGGTGACCACATCACATTTGAACGAAATGATCTCGTTAAAAGATGCGCGGCATTTCATAGTTATCATTGAGTTTGTCGACTGCTTCGTGAATGATTTATATAATTGCCGCCTGGCTCTAAGTTAAGATATAAATATCAACTTGGGCTAACCTATCACACTTCACCTGTTTTGTGGGCCTGTCGATTGCAATCAATTTCGCCTGAAAGACGCTACAGTGGTCCGGAAGACGAAAGCTAAGGTAGATTTCCAGATCTTCGAAGTATACACCTTCCCCAACACTAGCCTCGAGCTCTCAGCCTCTATGTATACATGTATAGACTCGCCACTCCTTCGTTTCCACTTTTCGCTTGAAGGTAGGAGTATCGTAAACGCTATACTGGTAGCAGGGATCGGAAGTGTATAGTCCGCCAATCCGGTAAGCCCCGAAAACTTCGTTTGTACCCCACCATGACCGTAAATAGTATTTGACCACTTATTTATAATGTTCATTCGAATTGCTGCACCATTTGTGACCTGTTTGGTATGTATGGCTGCCGGCAGAAAATTCAGCAGGGCATATAGTGCCTTAGACACTTAGTTCTGATCGCACCTCTTATGAATGTTTCCTTGGACTTTATTCATATCTTTAAAGCTTACCTCTTTCCCAAGAGTATTTCCCCATACCCCAGATATAATGATGTGATAGAGAATTGGCCCTACTACCAATGTGTATATTCTGTGTATTATTTTGGGTTCCATCCCCCATCTTTTTCCTATTGACCTGCAGCAGGAATTTAGTGCTACCACAGCTTTGCAATTTTAGGCCCTCAATTTAGTTTCCTGTCCAGTAGGAGTCCTATATATATGGAGTCTTCCTTTACTCCCAGTCCTCGCCTTCTGCAGCATAGGGATAGTTTCTTGAGAGATGTTTGAATTAGGCCGATCAATGTTAGCAGATGTTTACCCGAGATATGTAGCTGTTACAATATCGGCTATGTGGCTATGTTCCGAATAGATGAGATTACTTCCTCCTAGGGCATATCCCTGACCTAAAAGGTCAGACGAGCTTTTGGAGGTAGGAGTAAATGTGCTCATACTGCGACCACTTTGACCGAAAGCTTTTCTCACATCTCATCGGGATAAAGTCGGATTCTATTACATGGTTGGTTTGTCCGTTACAAGTCTTCCAAGTAGCCACCTCATATACAATGAGCGCATTTTGCCGTCATTTTCAATTTTATCTATGAAAATGCTAGATTTCAGGTCCTAATAGCTCCGCAAGTTCTGGTAATACATATGTGTCTCTCGATTGTTTTATATCAGATACTCACAAGGCCAGCGCATTCACACAGAGATTGCTGTTTTCCTTCTTCACGATGCTGGGATGTCAGTGGTCAATTTCACACAGCTAAAATTCAGAACGAAGTTGTGCCTACGTTACGCGCGTTTCCTTGAGTAGATTTAGCTTTTTTTTTGAAGCTAATGGCGATGCCATTCTTATCAATGTATCCAAAAAGTAGGTTTTGATGGATCACCCATGACTGGCGTTCAGTGCTTTGCCAATGTCGGTATCTTAACTCACTGATATGTCTCCCGAACGTGCTGAGTAGGTGGCTCAGCTACTAACAAGAGTCTGCTGGGTGTTAAGTGCAATGGGGTCTAATGAAAAGGATTAAAACTTTGATGGGAAATTCCAGAGGAAAGTGGTCACAGAAAAATGGTTGTGACCTTAGCCTAAACCGAAAAGCGATAGTATAGCCACATACCGGAAAAGAAGAAGATACTCCGATACTTGGCAACCAGACCACTGTAGCAAAAGGAATTTCTCAAAAGTGACTTTCTTCTAAGCCCAATTTACCATTGTAAGACAATTTTTGAGCCTTCGCCGTTCGTGATATCTATGCAAGTACGTGTGTAGATCCTCTTTTCATTGGATTTTCTCTCAATTATAGTTTCTTTATAAAAAGGAAAAGGGACCTTTTGTTCGTCTAACAAAACTTACTTAAACTTACAACTTAAAATGCCTTCTCATTATAACTTCCGTGCTCTTACGCTCTTGGGGAAATGAGCTTATCCTAGTCAGGCTCTATTTTAACGTGCCCTTTGCAACCACCGACAAAAATCATAGTGTGCAACAGACCAATGCTGCACGTAAAGCTACAAACCACAAATTACAATGACATTTCCATTTTGCATACTTAATCTTGCTCAATCCTGTCGTTGTCGTTGTGCGGAGACCAATGTCAATAAAGGTTTCTCACGAACCCCACTTACGTGTTAATCAGCTAGTTGCACGCAGCCAACAGCAGCAACATAATGTACTGCACAGTAACCAGCAGTACATCCACCTCCCCCCGCCCACCTTATTTGCTCAGCTGCCACCTTTTGCACCGCTCGCATGATTGAAATTGTTGCTACAGGTAATGAAGTAAATGGTAGTTGCTCGTATTTTTCTCCGGTACATGTACGTTAATTGCCACCGGACAAAAACGGTCAGCAGCCAAGCAACCGACAACCAACAGCATCGGGCGACAGACAGCCTTTGGCTATTAGCCATCACCATGCCAGTTTGCACATAGCGTCTGTAGCTACTGCTGCATATAACAACAACAGCAATACACACAGACAATACCAATACACAATGGT